TTCAGCAGTCGATAGACACTGCTTGTCCAGAAACTGGGGAGCAGAAATAGCAGTTACGTTTGCGTGGTTGGTTGTTTCGGGTATTTGAATGAATTTTACTCATTACATTGTTCAGTTTCTAGTTAGTATGTTTCAAGTAGGTATTCTCAGTTTAGGCTATCTTGTCCACTTCAAATTAATGCATATGCTATAAAATACGGGTAGTGACTGTAAATTAGTATTGCACCTTCCTGAAATGATTTGTTCAGCCTCTTGGAAGATTTAAGGGAAGATGATCAACGTTACTTGGTTATGTTTTCCAGACAATATCCCCCCTGCTTTTATGTTTTTTAATTTGATTTGTATTTCCAATGAAGTGTCTATCCTGTTCTGTAAGCATTTGACAGTAATTAAAATACAAAGCATATAAATCATCATATTACATACATACAAATTTAGCTGTTCATTGTCACTCCTGTAATCGAAATGTGGTCAGCCAAAAAGATTCAATAACTGATTGTCCAGGAAAACACTAGAGCTCACTGCATTCGCCCTTCGGAAAAGCAGCTTTAACATACAGGTCATGCACTGTGAGCTGTGCATTATGTGACTGAAAAACTGCATTCAGGTGTCTTTTGTTAGTGACTCATTTCAAAGCAAATGTCTCCTTTAAGAGGATCTGTAATAATTTTTAAAATGTCTAAGTGATAATGTTACTAAATAATACTTCCTTTGGAATATTTGAAGCTAATTAGGATATCTTTTTGGAGTTAAAAAAAAAAAAAGGTTTTATTTGGGGAATTTAGATTAAGTTTGTTCTTTGTTTCCTGTGCTATTAGTAAATATATTTGTGTTGTAATAGCATCCAGTAACTGAAGCTGAAGAGAGAAAGCAGAGAGGAAAAAGCCGGGGAGGTGGAAGTTTGAAAGTTTTTACTTTTTCATTCTTTCAGCCAAGAGCAGTCAGGGCAAGCAGGCCAGCTGCTGTGCTGAGAGGCAGGCTTCCCCGCTTGAGGAACAGCAAGCACTTGAACTGAGATAAGCTGGTCATGTGAGTGAGCCTAGGAAATTAAAAATGAAGGGTTCGTGCGGAAAAGTTCAAGAACTGGTGTTCACACCTCCAGCTGCAGGCTTGCAAAATGTATGGTCCCATCGAGTTACGCACCTGCCGTACTTACCCTTCCATACTGAAATGATTGCAGTTAATATTACAGATTCCTTGTGAATAAAATAAACGGAGAAGCCACTAGGAGAGTTTGGAGACTGTGGGGTTCTGTATCGGGATAAGTTGATCTATAATGCGAAAGTTCACGTTTGAGTGAATGCACATCTACAGACACGTTTGTGTATCTTTTGGCAGGGATTGTTCTAAGTCAAGTTATTTAGCAACATGGTAGAACATTTGGCATCGTATGCCAACTGAGTCATGCTGTCATTTAATACTTATCCTAAAAGTGTTTTCCCTTGTGTTATTTTGTTGCTGGATTTACTTCTAGACTTAATTTTTCTTTTCTTGTAAGGTGGCATGAGCCTCTCTCTCCCCAAGCCGGGTAGCTGTCCTAGACCGGTTAGATGAAACGCTCTGATTAAGGATAAAATGATTTTTTTGTTTCTAGAAGTTTAAGGTAACTTTTCTAGCTCCTATAGGGAAATTCCGAAAATGCTGATTCTAGCAGGCAACAGCCCTTCACTATGGGGAACTCTGCCTCGTTATCTGCCAGAGACTGGGGGGTTCAGATGGGATCCAGCTAAACCAGGTAACTGTAGGCAAGTGATGTAATCCCAACAGGTGTCCTCTTCAGTGTGTGACTTGTTTTTTAATTTTTCAGCCTTCATTCCTTCCCTGTCTCATCTTTGTCGTCTTGAGATCCGGTCCATTTTGACGAGTGAACGCCTACGATCGGACCGGTTTATCCGGGAATTGCCCTTACCAGCTTGTCTCCAGGACTACCTTCTCTACTTAGATGTACTGCGAGTCAACGCTATCCCAGAAGCAGAGGATTATCTGGGGCAGAGAGAGGAGGGAGCTCCCTCTACCAGTCACTCCAGCGCTGAAGATGCAGAGAGGAGGGACGCGTGTAACGCCGGTGTTAGGTGATGGCGCTGCCAGCAACTGAACTCTGCCATTTTGTAATGGCAATTAGAAAACACCGGAGAAGAACGACTGTAAATAACTGTAGTAATAAGTATTTTCACGCTGTAGTTTTATACCATATCTACAAGTTTGTTAAAAGTTCTATGATTTACTTGTTTAAAAAGTCTGTTGTAGCTTTCTAAGTCTGTGAACATTTTCTGGTTTTTGAAAGGAAATCTTTAACTCTTACGGAGTAAAATTAGCTTGTTCAATGAACATAGCTTATATAGTCAAAATCTGTTTGGTCAGGCACTGTTAGTAGATGCTTTATTCTAAGTACTACACATACCAGATGAAATTACCTGAAAGTCAAGGAACGCAATATTATATTATTGTTAGGAATTTATGTGTTGGGGAATGATCTAGCTGAACCAGAAATAGGAAAATAATATAAGAAAGGAATTTTTTTGCTGAAGGAACAGTGATGTTTTTTTCTTTTTTCTTTCCTTGGTCATCTATATTTGGCGGAACGTCGGAGTGGGAGGCTGGCTTGGAGCCTGCACCCAGTCCCTCCCTTTGCGTAGCCCATGGGCAAGGCACAAAATGTCCCCAAAAGTACACAGACATGACACCGCTGTACAAAAATCCCTCCTTCAGTGAAGTGAAAAAGCAACTGCCGTCCCCACAGGGTGGGTGACAGGGCAGGGACACCTCGGTGGAAGACAGCTGCATCCCTTGCGCTGGGAAAGCCCTCGTCCTGCAGAGGCGAAGCTGGCACTGCCGGGCTCAGTGGTAGTAGATGCTGAAGGCATGGAGGATGTACAGGAAGGTCGTGATGAAGGCAAAGAACTGCATGAGAGGAAGAAGAGCAAAAGCTGGAGTCAGCTGGTAGCGTTTATCCCCATCTCCTCTCAGTGCTCTCCAAACCTCCCAGCCTACGCCTCTCTCCAGCCTCAAAGAAGAGGCAAAGCACCCCACATTTCCCCAGACGCAGCCACGCAAGGCTGCCCATGAGCTGCTGGACCCCGAGAAGGCCACACTGGCTGCATGACGCAACCGAGATGAGGAGCTGAAGTTCTGACCAGTGTGAAACTACTGGGCTTGGGATGGCTCTGCTGTGGCTTTAATATTTGCTCTTGCATCTCCCCAAGGGGAACTGTGGGTGCTCCGGCCTGCCTGGGGTTTTCTGGAGCAACTCACCGATGCGGCGCTGTTGAGCTGGTAGTAAAGCGGCGAGTTCAAGTTGAACTCAGAGTTGATGGTTGCGTTGGCTTGCAAGACAGCAGCGCTCATGTACAGAATGGCCGTGGCACCGTGGTACAAACTGTCCTGCAAAACGAGGGAGCGGCAAGGATCAAAGCCTGCCCGGGGCTGTCCTCCTCTGATTCACCCTGACGTTGAGGTCCATCCTCTGCACGTACAAGCGCTCGAACGGCTCACGCGCCTAGACAGGGGCAGGGACCGAACCCTTGCACCATGCTGAACCCTCCCCTGTGCCCACGCAGCACCCACAGCATAGTGCAGCTTCCCTCGGCGTTTCCAGTCAAGGCAAAAGGAGGAAAAAGGGCTGGTTGTTTGCAGAAGGGCCAGCACCTGGCCGGCTAACCCGTCACCAGCCACGGTGGTCTTGCACCCACGCTGCTGCTGCCAACATCTGCCGGTGTCCCAGCCCCTCCTTACCAGCACTTTCCAGTTCTCACTGTTTTTGTGCAAGCCAAAGAGGTAGATGAAGAGGAGCATCAGGGAGATGAGGCAGGAGCTGATGGACACGTACATCACCCATCCCTGCAGCAGCGGGCTGGAGACGGAGGTAGCAGCGACAAGGATCCACACCCAGGTCCCGCAGACCTGTCGGGGACAAACACAGGTGCCTCCGATGAGCGTGGGATGGGGAAAGCCCCTTCTCCTCCCTAAATCCCTCCTCGCCTTCCTCCCAGGCCAGTCCCAGCAGCCGTGGGAAGCCCTGCATCTTCAGGCAGCGTGGACCAGCCTCCCGGAGCATCCCGGCATGACAGCAGCACCACAAGCTGGCACAAGTGACCCTGAACGCTCTTGGAAAATACTTCAAAAAGTTTCTCACAAAAGGGAAAGGTTTGCTGCCATGTTCGACGCAAAGAAACATCTCACCTCGAGGGCTTTGGCAGAGAAGCCAGAAAATGTGCTTTAATCTGTGAAAGGCAAACAGCCACATCAGCCCAGCCCTGCCCGCTCATTAATCTGGGCTTGAAATCATGGCATGAGGAAGTCTCCTCCTGACTCCATGCACCAGCCCGGAGTGAGTCGCTCGCTCTGGATCCACCTAAAATATTTACTGTGCACAAATAGCACGCGGGGTTATCTGGCTAAGCTCACACTGCCCTGTGCCACTCCAGCTCTGGAGGATGAAGCTCCCCCAGATTTGCAGCAGGGAGCTGAGCCCGTCGGCACAGCCCAGCCACAGGGATTGCGCCCGTGGAGCATGGGTGGTATGCGTCGCCGGTGCTGTCGTGTGTCAAAGTACACCCATGGTTATCTCTGCCGGTCCCACCAGATGCCCTCTGGACCCAGAAGTAATTGAAAGATTCATGGAACGTCACACGTTACAAGACGCCCAACTGCCTTCAAGTCCTTGGAAAGACTTAATACAGAGAACGAAATTCCCTTGATTTTTCAAGCAATTTCTATGCGATAACTAGAGCCGCTTCTGCCCCGGAGGCACCGGCAGCTCTTCAGCCTCTCCCAGCCCCACGACAGCCAGCAACCCTTGCCCGGGCTCTGGGATGGAGCTGGAGCGTATCTCGTCCTCAAGCTGTTCCAAAAAAACCCACATCACAAAGACCACCTTTGTACATTCAGTATAAGCTAAAAGAAAAGATGTTATTTCCCATTAACGCTGTCTTCAGGACCGTTTTGGAGGCTGCTCCCTGATTTTTATTCGCTAGAGCCATTAGCGGGGTGCCGTAACGCAGCAAAGCGCGGCATACTCACTATCTCCGGTAGTATGAAAGCGTAGGGGACGGTTTTGAAGATGGCAGGTCCGGAGGGTAAGGCGGGCTGCGTGGGGGACGCAGAGGGGGACGCCAAAGCCATGTCTTCTCAGCTGATGCCACGACCGGTCCGGCTCGGCTCCGCTCACGTTTGCCTGTGCCGCGCCGCTCCTGTGCGGGCTTTTAACCGACACACCCGCAGGGACGTAATCACAGAAACCAGCCCAGGCTGGCACCGCGCCGCTTCCTCCAGCTGAAGGAGCCCTCGGCAGCCCTCCGGTTATTGCGGCGGGCTTCGCACACCCTGCTGACAACACGGACGGGAGAGCAACGGGACCCCGGCCCCACCGCTGGCAGGCAATCAATTCAAGGTCTTTAACGAGAGGGGAAAGAAAAAAAAAAAAAATCCTACACCACGCCGGGGCAGAAACGTTTCCCACAATCAATTTTTGTCCTTGGCACGCTTTCAAGCCTGAAATATTTTTGGTTCTGCTGTTGTTGCCTCCTCCCCTTTCTGTTCAGGTTTCTGCTCCGTGTTCACGTAAGACTCCCCCACACCCACTGGGCACGTCCAGCCTTCGAAAACTTGCAGCCAAACATTTTTTAGAGATAGCTCAACACACTGGTAAAAGATGGGAGGGTTTGCCTGCATGCTCCTATGTCCCCAGAAAGGTCTGAAGGAAGCTACTGGGACAGCTTTGATTTTTACCTCCTTGCAGATGCACTTTGGGTTCGACAAGCGCACGCTATTTTTTCCAGAGGGCTCCCCCTCACGCCGTAACTCACCGATAATTGGTGGGACCAAGTGATGCCCTAGGAATTCGGCTTCTGTGCCAAGCCTTGTGCAATACAAAGGTCAAATCCATGTTGTTTCTTATTGTCCGAGCCCCGCCCTGGGCCGGGGGGAAGCGTTTTGTGGCATTTCTAGAGGCTCCAGTTTACAAATGCTGTCAGTGGGAGCTGGCTTCGGGCTCCATGCAGTGGTCTTTGGAACATCTTGTTTTAAAACATCTCGCACCAGACAAAACTAGTGCTAGGCTCAGATTTAAATCCTCGTGGGACTCGGTGCCTGCCTACCTCATTGGACACGGTGGTGACATACCCATCACCGTGCAGAAAGCATCCAGACTCCAGCACAAACGAGAAATTGGATTAATAACTTCCCCCTGGGAGCGGGCAGCACATAGGGCCTGTGGTTACAAACTGCTCAGGGAAAAGAAGCCTTTAACGTCCTGGTCCGCTGAGGAATACCCCGCAGCTCGTTAGCCTGCCCTAGAAAGTCAGCACGGAGGGAGCTACCGTAGGGCACGGCCACGCACAGGGGAAACGCAGCATGTCCTGAACTCTCACCAGCTCTTATTTGTATTAGGCGGGTCAAGCACATTCCTGTGAATAACCCAACCTTTTCCTGAGTGGGAAAGAAAAACAGTAAAACAGTCTAAATACAGAGGCAACCTGCTGTCCACTGGTTGGACAAGAGATGATTTTTTTTTTTGTTTTTCCCCCCCTAACCTGGCTGACCTTGCTCAGCAGCATTCTTAAAGATCATTGCTATTTTCCTTGCCTGTTACCAGTCTACTGGGGTACTGTGACAAAGAGTCTTTTGTTCACCCTGATTAAAACAAAACTGGAAATTAATTGGAAGCTGCAAGAGAGGAGGAGAGCACTGCCTTGGCATTTGCTCAGTTTAGGCAAAATACGACACTCGACGTGGCTACAACAGGTATGTGTAGCAACAGACAACCACAGCCTTGTCTAACATTGCAAAGTCAAAAATTTAATTTCCATTAGTTAAACTGATAAAATAATTGGGTTTGTATCTGTTTTATCTCTCAAAATGTTAAACATGTTAAAATATTCATTACAATTCAGATAGTACACAGTTTCTCTTTCTTTGGTAAGAATTTATTTATATTGTTACCCCATTCTTATATAGCCTGAAGTGTTCTTCTATAATCCATTCACACTCCAGGAGTGTTTTCCCTCGCTTCTCCTAAGAAATCGTAAGCCAGCTCTGAGATATCAAAGGCTTTGTGAGTGTTTTCCGACGACAGCAGGTACTGAAGCGCACCATCATTCTCTCGGCTCTTTTTCAAAAAGTCAGCAATCACCTTCCAGCGAGATGCTTCAGACTCTTCCTCAGCCCACTTGTAGTCAGGGAGGAAAGTGGAATGGAGGAGAGGGAAGACAGAGTCGTGGTACACCAGGACAAACAGAGACTTCAGAAATTCTCGATCTCTCTGCAGAGAAGAGTATTTGAAAATACTTCAGTACAAATATGCGGTGTTGCCAAGCACTTCTACAGAAGTATTGTACACAGGAAAAAAAACAGACAAGAAAACATTCAAGTAACTCCCAGTTCCCAGGATAACAACGGGAAGAGATTTGACCTTCCTAAACAAACATCAGTTAGCTCGGATGAGCCTCAAACTCACCACCAAGAACTACAGGATATAAACTATAGATCAACAAATCTGCTCTCCAACGCGCCTGCTTTTCCAAGTGACAAAGAGCAGCGATACGCAGCCAAGCCGTGCCAGTGTTGCCACAAAATGGCAATCTGTACAACAGCCACTGAGAGCCCTTTGCTCACGGGGTATTTATCTTTCTTCCTAAAAACACGCGTGTGTGGCAACTGTTCTCCACAGCCTCTGCAGGTACGGACTGAGTGCGCCACGACCACCGGGGAAGTGCCACATCTTCCCTGCCTTGGAAGCCCAAACTCCGCTCGTTTCTCTACGGCCCTAGGCAGAGAATTGCAACAATCCTACGCTCCTCACAGCGCGTGGCTTCTAGCGGGAGGTAAGGCCACACCGTAAGTACTGTTATTGCACACTTTGACGGGACATTCTGTGCGTGGCGAGAATTATGCCCTCCCCTGTAACGAGCAGTTTGCAAACCCACAGACTAAGAATCAAGCCTGGTCGATTATCAAATATCAGAAGATCCCGACCGCTTTTAACTAGACAAAATTTGTGTGCCTCGTTTTCCGCACGCACACGAGAAAACCCCTTCGTGCAAGGTCACACAACAGAGTGCTGCCTCCTGGGAAACTCATTGACCACTGAGAGTCTTCCAGAAATGTTCCAGAAACCTGAGCGCTATGACTGGCATAGAACAGTTCACATCTCGGCAGGAGATTTAGCAGCTAAGCTTCATATAACCATGCAAGAAGGAGTAAGAATTCACCAGGCAGCAATCCTACCATGGGAGTGGCACATGACAAATCAGGTAAAACTGGATGGTTCTGGGATACTGAGGAGTTACGAATTCTTTGAGCAGATCAGCTTTCATTTGGGATGAATGGCCTTGAAAAAGCGATTCTGACTCAACAGCATTTTGTTTTGTTTGCATAAATGGGGAGACCTCCTTGTGTATCTACTCAGTAGCGTGCACAATGAGTGAAATATCCTGCTGCTGCTCCCAAGTGAAGTGTCTTGGATCAAGAGCCAATGCCTTTCTCATCCAGTTACCTACAGCTTCTCTTTCTCCAGAGGACAGGAGGTAGGACAAGGTATGGATAAGCCTGGTGACATGGCCAATTCAGTTCTTCTCCAGCTGTCTACACGCCAAAATGGGAGATTACAACTGTCTGCGGTAGGGAGATTTGCAGAATTTGGGGGCCTTTTTCCAGGCAGACTGTGGGAGGACTGGAGCTCAGAGGCTGGAGGAGGAAAGATGATTTTGTGGACATACACAGCCCCTTTTGTACCAGTGGAAAGCTTTTACCAGTCGAGTATTGGAAGCACATCATGAAAGGGAGCCACACTTTGGGCACAAACCTATAATAGCTTCCCCACTAACAACTGTATACAGACACCGAGACAAAAAGTTACAAGTTAATTCATATTCCTCCTTCTGGTTTACTGTTACAAATACGGGTAAGAAATGTTAAGAACGGCATTTAGCGTATCTACGTTTTCTAAATAAATGTATGGTGAGAGGAGAAGTTAACTACCAGTAACACTGACAGAAAGCTTCTAGTTCGAATTGGATTGAATATATGTCAAAGAAAAACCTGTAGTTCATTACCTTCTCTGATCTCTTCAGTGTTCTTTCTCTATCTGCCCAAGCGCTCTGAAATGAAATGAGATATAAAATCAGACTGAGATGGTGGAGATCTAAAGCAATTCCCTTTTTAGCTGCAAAAATCTCTCGCTGCGATCCCACCATAGTTAAAGCTCCTGTTGCAGTCCCACTTTCCTCACACTCCCCATTCCTCCCTTGTGCCAGTTTACTTGACTTAAGCAAACAGCCATTCCACCAAACTTTACAGATGTGAGGATTTGGAGATTTGAAACTGTCAGAGCCATATAAATGAAATCAAGGGGATCCACTTTTCAGAAAAATCAATCACAACTGAGGCTGATTTTTTCCCACCCTGCAAGCATGGAGCAATATAGCCTAACCCCAAAGGCTGACAACTTCTAACAGTAGCGTCCTTCGGGCAGAAGTAACTCGGCTGTTGTTGCCTGGTACTGGGACACCTGCGAGGGACTGCAGCGTAAATGCGGTCAGCACTGTCCTGTAGCTGCCACGCAGAAGCTAAATCACCTGTCACGAAGGCAGCACCGTCCCAGAAGCCAGACAAACATGCAGGCAGCTAATCCCCCTGAGCATCCTCATGTCTTTGCATGCCTTCTGAATGTACTCAAGCATCCTCTTGCAATTTTGAAGGCACAAGAGATCAGCATGTCCTCGAAACGATTATAACTTTTCTGCTGTTTGGCTTTTCCATTTATCTTTTCACAGGATAAAAAAAAGCTCAAATTTTGCAAGCTATCTAGAAATCCTGACACATCAGATGTAATTGAACGGTACGTAGGTAACATACGCGAAGTGCATCCATCAGGTCTGGCTGATCCATGAGTTGAGGGAAAGTTGCTAAAATAGGATTGCAGATTAATTCTGAAACAGAAAACAAACACATTCAAGGCTAAGGAGGAAACAGGATGGTTTTCAAGGTATCAACACATCAAGGTATTCAACATAGCCCTTCCCCTCAGAATATTTCAAAGGGAAAATTAGCTGTAATAGTACTCCAGAGCAGCAGGGAAAGTAGAAAAGCTCTTTAACAACTGCATTCTCTAACTGTAGCAAACT